ATCGTCTCTTTTTCTTCAGTCTTCAGTTTCACACGGGGGGGGTAAACCGAGAGCCCACAGATTACTGCGGTCAATGCCTTCCCCCCCTGCTGGAACCATCCCCCCTGACCAATCTCAGAGCTTTGGGACATGGCAGTGATCGGAGTGCCGTATCCACGGCGTATCGTACCATCGATACAGCCACCAATAATGGCCCTATTATTTGCTGTAGTCCGATCGTGGATCAAATACCTAATACCTTCTGAGTTCAGGGGGCGAAAAAGAAAAGCATTGACACAGTCGATCCCGGTGATCGGGGAGCTCCGGATTCGATAACGGGCACTCGATGTGTATCAGGAGACTTAAAAAAGAGAGAGCATAACCGGATATGTTGTTCAGAGTACGGAGCAAATAAGGCCAGCAACGAGTCAACCTGTCCCTTGTCGGTCCCCAGAGATCCAAGTATTTGCCTGCAGCCTCCTGATTTGGGCTCTTATAGTCAAAGATTCAGCGGGAAACATCAACGAATGGTCCCATAACTCAGTCGGTTAGAGTGCGGAGCTAATAACTCCGAAGTCGAGAGTTCGAGCCTCTCTGGGACCAGCAGTTTCTTTTTCGCTTGTTCGTTTTCTTCATTTTTTGCCATTGGGTCCTGCAGTGCCTCCACCTAATTCAGACGGACATTTTCCATTGAATATTCTAACCAATAATGAATGCATCTAGGTAGTGAGTAAGTGATCACAGTGCCACAAACACTACTTACGGCGTGTTTTATCTGGCGGAATAATCCTTTAGGGTGGTGTGAACTACAGACCTAGCGCAAGCCTTCGGTCCTTGTATCCCGACTAGGAGGTTTTTTTTTAGAGCGTCTATCCCTCTTTCAATTCCTAGGGCCTTGGCAAGACCTGACAGATGCTCTTACGGAGTACGTTGGCGACCACGGAGCCGGGCAAAAAAACCGACCTTCCTGACATTCGGATATCACAGTCGGATTCGATCAATGGTACAGATAAAGCAAAAACAAAAAAGAAACCCTGGTCCCAGAGAGGCTCGAACTCTCGACTTCGGAGTTATTAGCTCCGCACTCTAACCGACTGAGTTATGGGACCTTGTTGGGATGATGGCGCTCAACTTTTGCATCCTTGTTCCCAGCCATTATTCACGCCCACGTGGACTTATGTTCCGCACGGCAATGACATCCAGAGGAGATGTATGTCTTAATTGACTCTTCATGTGATTATGACTATCTACCCCATTCATTCTATCTTATGGGTGGATCCCTTCGCGCGTTTGAACCCATTGTCGGGGCCATCCTTCCTGCGGTCCTAGCGACAACTAGAGGTCAGCGTGTGTTATGTAGGAGGGGTGGGTGGCTAAACATGAAATTTTACTGCAGAGTATAGTTATCTATATCCTCCGATTTGGTTTCTATCCTCTTTTCCTCTTTTCCTATGGATTAACCAGAGGGGTGGCTCATACGCTTCTCTCGTGTTGGTGTCTGAGGTGCAAGCCGTTTGCTTACCAAGTATGGCAACGCCTAGGGAGTCTCTCCTTCCTCAACAACCACAACCACCATTTTCGTCGTCGGCCCATCCTCTTGCATCCGCTCCTTTGGTCCTCGTGGGTGGCTTCCTGGTGTCGAGAGCGGCTACCTGTGTGAGCTGCGATAACAATTAAGGGTTCCGGTAGTCGATTTAAAGTATGGATCAAGAGTATATATCAACATGTGCCACGCCGGTAAGCCAACCTGCCAAAGGGCGAGATGAAACAGGTACCTACTAATATGATACATACAGCACCTCATCCTGAACCAGGAATGATCACCTTGGCTGGAATAAGCTTAACAGACCGAGTGTTCATCGACTGACACTGACATATCATGGCAATCAACATCGCCAAGGAGAAATGGCAAAGTCCGTTGGTGATGGAACACTAAACAGAGGCTCTGATCTATCAGACCAAATAACGAGCGGCAACATCAACAAATGGTCCCATAACTCAGTCGGTTAGAGTGCGGAGCTAATAACTCCGAAGTCGAGAGTTCGAGCCTCTCTGGGACCATTACCTTTTTTGCTGCCGAGTCTCCTACTCGGCCTATCATCCATTTATCTTTCAATACTCTGCCCCCCCACTTATTTGTATTTTTATTCTTAGAAGCTGGATGCCGCCCTATGCCAATTGCCACACCGCCAGGATAAGCTGAAACCGCCATCCACCTTCTTAGCGCCTCACGGGGTCGTCGATTGGGGCCTGACACACAAAAAAAAAAAAAAAAAAAAAAAAAAAAGGAAGGTAAAAAACAGTCAAAGATGCCAGGGCGATGCACCGACGAACTTCTCCCCATCTGACACGTCAATTGACAACCCACCCCCCACTCGGATTGGAGTTTCGAATGCTGGCCGATCGTGAATGGTGGTCGACCGTTGCCAAATCGCCTGATCTGACTCCATTCTCTCCACGGAGTACTCTTTGCCCTCGGTCTGAAACCCATTGTCAGGCCAGCTCCAGACGGGGCGTCTACACATGTTGAGGGGTCATTGGTCTAGACGATGACTGCGTGGTTGTGGAGTCAAACCTCCCCTCCCCCATTGTGTGACCGAGACATGGCCTTGTCATAACTTGTCTGATTGTGAATTGAGACGAGTCACTGAAGACACACGCATACGGAGCATATAGAATACGATCCACACAGACCGCCTTGATCCAACCAGGAAATAGAATTCAAGGAGGGGAAAGAAAAATGAAAAAGAAGAACGGCTATCACCAGAACAGCAAGGCTTTCCAGACCATCAAGATGCACGATTGGTCCGGATGACTGGATGATACCTTCTCGATCGAGCAGTATACAGGATGCACTCGCCACAGCTTGAATTATTGACACAAAGTAACTGTAGTATTACCAAGTATGTTTGGTTTGCTCATTACCACGCTCTTTCCTCCGTCATCCAAGGATGCTGGAGCAACTCCGTCGTTGACTTTCGTGCCCGAGGGTCTCGCTGCAGCATCGAGCACAGGAACGATGCAGGATCCTGCTGCACGTCCATGGGCCCCCAATTGGATCGAAGCCTCTCCCGGAGGAAGAAAGCAAACGCTTCGAACATCTGAGGGCTGCGTCCCATCATATTATCAACGAGGATTCCATGTTCTCGGTCGATCTGCTCCGATGTGCCTAGATCCGACACCGGGAATAGCTGCTCATTCGTCGCTAGTTCATATATCTTCACAAACGCAGGCCATTAGCCTAGCGTCCACGAGAGAACCCAAGGGCATTCTGGGGGAGGGAACAGAAAAGTGGACAACGTTACCAGACAACCCAAAGTCCAGATGTCAATCCTCCAATCCCAAGTGGTCCGCTGGATCAATTCCGGCGCGCGCAAAGGAATCAATGTCACCGGCCGCTGCGGACATTGGTCACACCATGCAGCTGTTATCAGACGTGAATATTGATGCGACGAGAGCATATAAAAGGGAGGGCTGGGGAGTCGAAAGATTTACCTCCGCCAAGATCGCCCAACTGAACCAAGAGATTGGCAGGGTCCACATCCTCAAATGTCACCTGCCCTCTCTGAGAAGCCATCAGATATTCTGGTACACCTCGGTCTCTCCTTAGCCCGTTCAATGGCTCGACGGACACGAATTTGGGAGGATTGATGAAGCCGTCACAGGAGGCGACGCCCTCCAAGACAAACATGATGTTTGCCGGTTTCAGATCTACAAAGCACGGAATCGATCAGAGTTTCCCATTCTTATCGTTTAACACCGTGGGACGTCTCTTACCGCAGTGAATGATGCTTTGCGAATGGAGGAAATCTAGGCCCAGCAGGATCTGTTTAGCAATCGCCTGGACGCTGCTGATCTGACACGGTTTGCCCGTGAGAACCATTTCCTTGCCATCGGATATCAGTACCGGAAACACAAGGCACAGGTGAGTACCGTTGGGGCCGTGATGCTCGAAGTGATCCAACAATTTCACGACATGCCTTTTACCCAGATGCTCCAGGCCGGGGTCCGACAGGTGCCGAAGGATCTCAAGCTCCTTGTTATCCTTAGATGCGGCGGCTTTGACGATCTTCAAGGCCACTTGTTGCTCTAGCCTGCAGGTCCAACGATGAGCGTCTGTCCGGTCCTGGCCTGTCCTTACAATATCTCCACCAGGGGTTTGCACATACCGTCGATCCCAGGCCAACCATACCGTCGACGTCTGACCGAAAGCCAGCTTCCCAACGACTTCGTATCGCCGATTGAACAGATCGTTTAGGTGAACTGGATGGTATCCCCCGGGGTGGTAGTCCTCGATCGATTCGACGACGTCATCGATTTTCTCCACGGGGCACATTCTAATGCCCTCTGTAACCCATCCCATTGAGAAGAAGGGAGCAAAATAAATAATGTATATATATGTATAATGTAGATATATGTATAGAAGGGAGTCAAACGAACGACAACAATAGTAATAATGGTTTATGCAGGTGGAAGAGACATTCTGATCTAATTTCAGTCCTCGGCGGACGAAAGTGCGCGTGCGAAGGAGCGAGAGAGAGAAAGAAGTATGGAACAGGAGAGGTTGTAACCATGGCCCACCCATTGATAGATGATGAAACTTTATATCACAACCTTCCTACTTGGGGAACCATTCTGTAATGATCGGATCTCTGGGGAAAGTGTAACTGATCCTTTTGCCTCCGGGCAAGTGCTGTCGCGTGCCCATGGTTTTGGATCTACCATACTTCACTGTGTAGGGTCTGGTTTCCTTTCTTTTTTTTTTTTTTTTTTTTTTAAACGGTACCGACATAGGTGAAGAAAGTCTGAATGGATTGGAATAGGAAAGAGAGCTTGTCTATGATCATAGCTGATTGATTGTCTTAAAGTTGGGTCGCGTGCCAATCTCTTCCAATGTATTACATCTAGATAAGAGGACATATTCTCCGTCCACAGATGCCCTAGATTCTTTTGCCTCGCAAAAAAAGTAGTTTCCATGGATGTCCCAAAAATACATGCCCCGCCATTTCACCGGAACTAAATCACAGCTGATCGTCTGGAATATCTTCCGCCTGACTCCCGAGCTCATCGGCTACGAGGTCTCGATCTCCGTCGTCATCGTCATCATCATCTTCGTCGGCCCGGCCCTCACTCTCGTCCTCATCATCACTGGAGGAGCCACTGCCGTCGGTATCAGAGTCGCTACCGGGATCGTAGTCCTCTTCATCTTCATCTTCCTGGTCTTCGAGCTCACGCTGCGCTTTCTGTAACTCGCTCTCTTCTTCTCCCTCCTCACCGGCGACTGCTTCCCCGGCGGCGGCGGTCCCATCCTCGGTCTTTCCGTTGATGTTATACTTCTTCGCGCGGCGGGCTTCGGCGAGACTGGCGTCTTGGAGACCGTGTTTCTTGATGTAAGCGTCGATGCCGCTGAAGTCGGCCTGGTCGATCATGGAGAATTCGAATTCCTGCGTCTCGTCGCTGGCGATCGGTCGGGCCATGACGTTCAGGTTGAATGTTCGCTGGAGGACCGACGTGTAGGAGATCGAGTCGATGGTTTCGAAGGCGAAGAAGAGCAGCGGCTTCTTGAACCCGAATAATATACCCGTAGAAAGAAGGAACAAGTAACCTTATCACACAGAATTTGCGTATTAGCACGATCAGGCAGGGGAAGTAGAGAGGAGGGGGGATTGAATCAACGACTGTTTCTTACCTTCTTTACTCCCACGGAACGCCTTCACATGGTATGCTTTTTCGCCCTTGCGATGCGCTTCGGGCATCGCGCTCACGAACTCCCTCTCGTCCGGCAGCACCACCTGCGTCTGCGAGAGGTTCTCGTTCAGCGTCTTCCGCACCAATTGCTCGGCCGTCTCGCCGTCGGCGGTCGCGATCGGTTGCCCGTTCCCCGTAAAGGCGCCCGATTTGGGAGGCCCGTCGGCCACCGTCCATACGATCGACTCGGGCGCAGGGTCCCCATTGGGGGGAGGATTGATGCCGTCGCCATACTGGGGGATTATGCAGAAGTTGGTTTGACGTTGGTTCTTTTCGGGAACTGGAAGGCACAGAACATGTTCTGGGTTTTTGGAAAACAATATGATCAGTACGAGATCAGAATTGAGGCATCCACACAGACAGAGAGAGGGGGAGAGAAAGAGAACCGAACGCGAAGGTTCTCTCCCCTGAAACAAGGGGAAAGAGGCCAAAGAAAAACCTACGTATCTTATCCCACGAGACCCCAAACTCGATCTCCTTCGACGTCTGATTTCTCGCGCGCAGAAACCCGCGCCCGGCTGTAAACTCCAGCGTGAGCTTTTTACGCTGCGGAATAGCAAACGACACATCCGGCATGTAGAATTGTAGGGGCAGGTCCGCTTTCAAGTCGCCCGGCGATTGGGCATTGCCCGTGGTAGCATCGCCCTTTTCGAGTTTGCGTTTCTTCGCCGCAGGGCCGTCGGGAACGGCAGCAGCAGCGGCGGCCTGTACGGGTTGAGGGATGATGGGGCTTGTGTTCCTGTCCAGCAGGCTGGAGGTGTATCGCGCGATGTCCTCAAACAGAGGTATATATTGCGGGGTCGTTCCTGGAGAAGGAAGGGAGCGGTTAGCTTTTTTGTTTCACCCAGCGCTGTATTGGGACCCCCAAGACAGATTCGCGCAGATGTCCTAGGGGGAAGGGGGACGCACCGATCGCATCGTAAACTCGTTTCTTCAGAGAAGGTTCGGCGGCAAAGGCATCTTCAATGGCCGGAATACTCTTCGGGGTCGAGGAGTTGATGGTGGCGAATGCCATGATTGAAGAAGGCGAAGGGGAAAAGCACAATAAGAAAAAGAACAACAGCTGAAACAACTAAAAACAAGTAATCATACACATTAGACACGAGGTTGGTGGGAGGACCAAGAGAGGTGGATTGGAGAAGAGTTCGGGGCCGCGGATAAGAAAGAAGATGGGATGCGAAACTCACTCGGTTTCTCTCTCTCTCTCCCCCTTGGCGGCTTGTCGAGCCGGCGCAATCCACACGCAATTGGGGGATTCCAGTAATTTCTCCTATTCGCCGAACTGCTGCGATCTAAACAGGGCTCGATAATCCCCAGGTACCTGGATAAACCGTCCCCTAGGCCAAGGACAGGGAGAATGCAGCCCCTATAAGTCTCAGTGGTAGTAAATCTTATACAGTCATTTCTATGCTACAGGAAGTACAGCTTGTATACACGCGTGTGGGACAAGATATGGAAACGAAATAGACAAAAAATATCAAAGAAAATCCCTCAGCCAAACAGATCTTTTTGGACCCCTTTCTCAAGCCTTGTTTGCCGTCTTCCCTTTCATAAATTCCTCAATGAATCCAATCGTTTGGGTATCCATCAGGTAATTTCCGTTGGCGTCCGTTCTAGCCTTCAGATTGGCCTCCTTCTTGGCCCGGATCATGGCCAAGAGCTCTCCCTTGGGTGTCCACAAAGACCTGCTTTGAAGGTATTCCTTTTTGTAATCTTCCATCTTCTTCTCCTCCACCCATTCGGGGTCGTGTCTTGTTCGGTATTTCGAGAATTTGTTGCGCAGTTCATCCATGACGCTGGGGGGGAACGGCGAGTTGTGCAGCGACGGAACCCACGAGGGTGTCTCGACCTCCATACGGAGAGTGTCCCATTCCTCGTCCTTCAGGTTGAGCGGCTCGTTGCGAGGCCACGGGATCTCGATGTTCTCGCCGGCAATGTATCGGGTATGCCGGGGAGTGCTGGTGGCGTACTCGCGCTCCAGGAAAGGCTCGCCGCCGCGAACGTGGTCGACCAAGACGTCTCGCGTTTGGCCAGTGGCCGGGTCATCCAGAGCCACCACCAGTCGGACGTCGTCTATGGAAATCGGTAGGCTCACCGTTTGGAAGGGGGTCTTGCTACCGTATTGTTCGTTCAGCCATTCGGGGAAATGTACGTCGGCCTGCAAGAAGGACACCGGGTCGGTCAGTTCACGTGGCGTTTCCAAGAATTACTGGAAAGAGAGAGGGAAGCCACGGCGCCCGGGAGAAGCAGCACGCATACCATGTTCAGGTCTTTCACCGTGACGGTCTCGTTGGATTCATCGACACGAGAAACCTCATTGATCTTGCCTTTATCCTTGCCCTTGATGATACACACCCGGTCGCCGGGAGCAATGTTGATGTATTTCCGGCGGAGGTGCTTGGGGATGCTCGGGGGGTTCATGGCCTGCGGACTCAAGGCACCGAATGAGGCACCATCGGGTCCTGCGTCTCGCTGAGGTGCCAGGGGTCCTCGCACCCAATCTTCGCGGCGGCGTTCTCGCTCGGAGCGGATGGCATCGAGCTGTATGCGGTTGTAGGCGAACCGCTGGCGTAGCGTGTCCTTCAATTCCTCGCGCTCGGCGGTCTTGGTGGCGAGGATGGCCTTCCGTTGAGCCTGGTTCCGGGCTAGGGCCGTCCTCCGAATAACCTTCTGCATCGTGACGGGCGTGTGTCTTAGGGTGGCCGGTCGACGATTTCCGCGGGAGCAACTGGGAGTAGCCCGACGGCCGCGAGGGAAAATTGCGGCCCTGTAGGTCACGTGGATGATGTGCACGTGCCATCGAGAAGTCCGCCGTCCCTTAGAACAGGAAGGTATACAGATAGTTGGTTATCTTTCTATCTTCTATCTAGATTGTGCTTAAATCGTAAGGTAGAAAGATAGAAGAGAGTGTCTAGTAGCCTACATCAAGACCAATTTCTTTTGAACCTGGATAGCGTCATTCATAATGTGTTCGTGTTGTTCAACTAGCCATACGCTAGGCGCTTGCTGCTATCAAAATGCTACTTATGTTCCAGATTTCCACTAAAGCGCAGTTGGTTGATAAATGTCGGTCCTCTTTACAAACCCCGGAGGGAGGAAGAGCCAGACCAAGGGAGATGGCAAGGGCGATCACAGCAAAAAAAAAGAATGACCGGGTCCCATCGTCCGGCATCAGACAATGCAACATGGAACATAATTTCCGTTCAGGACGCAGGTAATCGAGAACATGTGCACGGAGAACTCCGTCCCTTCTTGACGAACAAACAGCACAAGATCGGAAGCCCCGATTTACTACACCCGTGTTGAGAAGACACGTCAAGGGCCAGCGGCTCGTTTGCCCCAGATTCCCGTCGACATAGGCCGCAATTTATGGCTTGATTCTGGTTCGTTGCCACTGCCAGGTAGCTCGTATCGTCTGGATGCACTCCGTACGCTGGATCTGCGCCCAAGCAGGATCGACGCCAGGACGCGCGAGGTCTGGATTTAGCGTATCATTCCACAGCAGGCCCTAATCAGGAGCATATGATAAGTCCCTCGGGACGGCTTGATCCCTTGATGAACATGCAATCGAGAGAAACCGAAACGGATTACGGAGTTAAGGGGGGCAAAACAGAAATGCAAAAAAAAGAAAAAGGGAAACAACACAGGAAGACACAGGAAGAGGCGTCGCTCCACCAATGGGTGCTTCACATGACAAGAGCGTACATGTAGGCATCAGCTTGCACGCAATTCTGCCAATCATGATGTCATGGTCAGTCAAAAGGATAGAATCGGCAAAGCAATGCAGTGAGACCGCAAGCTCAAGGGATTCTGGCTCCCATCAGAGGTTGAGTCAGTGGCACGTCCGCCGGCCATGTCAGATGCCGACTGCAGTTGGGTTCTAAGAAATAAACATTGAAACACGAACGGGGTCGGTCTGTGGGTTAAAAAAGAAGAAAAGAAAAGAAAAGAGGGAAAGACAGCCGGGGCTAAGCGAGTGAAAGACAGACCAAGGATGGGATTCTGATCTGGCCCGAGCCATTGGGGGTTTTATGCTGGGAGAGGGTAAGAAGCAGCAAGTCCTCCCGCTGTAGGAGAAGGAGGAGAAGATACATGCGACTAACGCAGAGCTGCGCCAGGAAGTCTGTAAGGCGCGCCCGCTGTGGCTGGTGGGTTTCCCGCCAGGTACGCCCATGGTATTTCCACATGTAATGTACTGCATGTATGTATGTACCTAAGACAGTACCGTACTTTGTACCTAGTGAGTTTGCCTGATTTGCTGCCTTGTCGCTCAGGTTTGGAAAATCCAGGCAGATGACGTTGTCCCAGTATTATATTATAATAAGGGGCCGTGGTAGATCCCTCTGCACCGCCACCTATATTTATTGTTTAGGTGATGTTTATTTTTATAGCCAGTTTCTGCGTACGGTTATACGGTACGAACCACCACGCGCCTGGATGGAAGGTGGTAGTCAAGATACTAAAATACTAACTACTAAGGCATCGTTGAAGTGGATGTGCCGAATCACCGGACGTTGAATGGGACCCATCAATAATCCTGAGGCTGGAATGGCCGGGGAAAGCATGTTGAAAGCTTTAGCTACTAGACCGGCTCCTCCTGACAGCACAGGACCGTCATTACAATTGATAATGACGGGAAAGACCAGGAGTCCGTCCATCCTGAATTCCTGATAGCGAGGTATCCGTGCAAGCCAAGCATGTGTGTTCCTGGCCATTTCTCCCAGGAGTCTTGGACAGCTGCAAGAATGGCTCTTTTGCAGTTTTGGCCTATCGGATCGGGCCTAGTAAACATGGAAGGTCCTTAACACGACTCTGTATAAAGACCGCCTCATCATTCAGACTGGAGCCATGATATTAATCAATAAACCCCGAGCGTCGAGAGAATCCACCAGCTTCTAGGCTCCGGTACTCCAGCTAACGGTCTGACGTGTCCACGCAATAATGAATATCTGTTAGGTGCTGCTGCTGTTGTGTAGCACAGAACATACGTAATGTCAATCGTAGAATAGATGTGGATGCTCAGAGTGCTGGCCTGCTGCGAAGGGAGATGAGGATGATGAGGATGATGATGACATAGGCGGCATCCGGAAATAAGTGGATCGGGGACGATGATCAATATCCATTCTCAATGTACTCCATAGAGTAGTAGTTACGGAGAAGATGGCGAAGGGGAATCAATAATATTCCAGAGTCAAAGGAAATGAATCAAGAAAGAAGAGGCAGAGGAAGGAGGTCAAACAGTCCAAGTACCGTTTACCGAGGATGATACATACCATACCTATACACGGGTACGGTAATGTAAATTACGAGAATGCGACCGGGTTTCTTCTGCACGGTGGCTTCAATAGGAATGGGAGACAGCAAAACTAGGCATCGAAATAAGCAGCGAATGGTCCAGTCAGTCGCTGGGAAAAAGGAGGTCTGGAAAACTATTCGATCCCCTTTTCTCCTCCCCCCCTCCTCTCTCGTTCATAGAACTAAGACATCCTACATACGAAAGCAGTATAGAAGTAAAGAGCTTTACCTAGAATTACCCTAGAAGTAGAAGATCAAAGGCAAAAAGTTAATTATTTCCTCAGTGATCCAAAGAAAACAAAACCAAAAAAGAAAAAATTAAAATTAAAAAAAATCACAGCCACATAGCTTCAAGCTGATGGGGCTGGGCAAAACATCGCTTGCCAACCGTTTCAAAGCTTTTAGTTTGGTTACTTAGTCAACTACTTCGTACAGACCAGGGAGCCTCAGAAAAGTGCAAAAAAAATAATTTTAGAAAAATAAACAGAACCAGCCGGAGAACAATCACCCGTACGAGAGAGGGAAGGAAAAAAGATAAGGAAACTAAAACAAAACAAGAAAGAAAAGACAGAGTAAAAAAAAAAAAAAAAGCACCGGGGCCGACCGATAAGTTCAACAACCTTGGGCTAACTTAGTCACTCAGGACTAAAAAACTAAGCCAAAGAAGGCCCCCGTAAGTTACTGACCTTCCATACTCCCCGTACAGCCCAGCGGTTATTGTCCTTCCCTTCCGCCCATCCATCATCAATCAATCCCCGTCCTTTCTTTTTCCTCTCTCTCTCCCCCCGTCAACCACAAGCTCCATCCCCCCCTGGAGAGTTCATAATAATCCATTCTATTGTCGTTTTTCCTTTCCCTTTCTTGCTTCTCAAAAGAAACTCTGATCCTTTGAGTTTCTATCATTCATTATCTCTTCGGCTCTCTCTCCTTTCCTCAGTATATTAATCTGCGCCGTTGCACTGCACCGTATGTGATCACTGACCAACCTACCGAACTAACCCTTTTCCTCGGGCGCCTGACCTGTCCCCTTCTCAGCCTTCGTTCCATCTTCCCACCGCCCATCACCCATCATCTCCCGCAACAAGCCTCTCTTCCTTCCCCTATCACTTTCACCTTTCCCGAGGATCGTCAGTTCAATTTTCATCGTTTGCTGATCCTCTTTTGATTAAAGATGGCTGAGATCCGTCGCAAGCTCGTTATCGTTGGCGATGGTGCCTGCGGTAAGACCTGTCTGTTGATGTAAGTTTCCCTTCTTGATTGACACTCCGACCTGGTCGGAAAAGAAATGAGCTTCGGAACTGATCTTATTCTCTTCGATAGTGTCTTCTCCAAGGGCACCTTCCCTGAGGTTAGCTGCCCCCTCCCTCATCGACTGCCATCCGGAACAACACTCGCCCCCTCGTGATCGAAAGCCGAGATCTGGGAGCCGAACCCGATGGACATCAAATTAACTGATCTCTTTCTTAGGTCTACGTCCCCACCGTCTTCGAGAACTACGTCGCCGATGTCGAGGTTGATAACAAGCACGTTGAACTCGCTCTTTGGGATACTGCTGGTCAGGAAGATTATGACCGTCTCCGCCCTCTTTCCTACCCCGACTCCCACGTTATCTTGATCTGTTTCGCTGTCGACTCTCCCGATTCTCTTGACAACGTCCAGGAGAAGGTGAGTCTCTAATCCCGACCGACATCTTTTCCTCTTTCAATAAGGAGGTGAATCCGGAGCATATCGACTGACCATACCTCTAGTGGATTTCCGAAGTTCTTCACTTCTGCCAGGGTCTTCCCATCATCCTGGTCGGCTGCAAGATGGATCTTCGTCACGACCCCAAGACTAACGAAGAGCTGAACAAGACTTCTCAGAAGCCCGTCAGCCCCGAACAGGTAAGTGCCCTTGTTACTTTCTCTCACAACGTACCCACCCAGCATCCGGGCCGAATCTAACGTACTACTAGGGTGAGGAGGTTCGCAAGAAGATCGGTGCCTACAAGTACCTTGAGTGCTCTGCACGAACCAACGAGGGTGTCCGTGAGGTCTTTGAGGCCGCCACCCGGGCCGCGCTCTTGACCAAGACTCACAAGAGCAAGAAGAAGTGCACCATCCTGTAAACTAGTTTTACCTCCTTCGTGAAGGGTCTGTTTCATGCGGAGATTATATGAACGGATAAGCGTCTCGACTATTTGGTTGTTTTCTTTTACTCAGAAGGGGTCTTCCGTTGGCGTGTTCCGATATGTGCCTGGATGCGATTGTGGATAATGTTCAATCACGGGCACATGAGGGTTATGGGATTATCTGGCTATGCAGTTGGTCGACTTTCTGATTTTGCCGACGTTGTTCTATTTTTTCTATTTTCTTATTTCTAGGGAGGCGTTGTCTTCATAACCTCGTGGGTTTTTTCTTCTCTTTTTCCAGCTCTCCATAGCGCCTACGGGGCAGTTTTCTGATCACCATGGCAAGACACTCGGAACAGATTGCCCCGTTTTGCTGGCAAGAGAACAACAAACGGTCATGGCTACCCCGGAGTCGGTGCATGATTGCAGACGGAGCAATTGAGGATGGCGTTTTTCCTGCGTGTGTCCACCAGCCCATCAAGCGAATTCCCGGAGGGTTTGAAGCGAAGGAAGTCAGAAAAGCCGTGATGGGCACTCGTGCGATCCGATCTCGCTTCCTTGTTCCGGTTAGAAGAGAATGAATGGATCTGTCTTTGGCGCTTGGGCTCCTCTGCTGCTTCGTTTTGACCTCGAGGGCGCGCCTTTTGAACCGGAGGCGCGGTGACAATCTGAGAGTGAAGGGAATCCCCAAGTACGAACCACTCAGTTAGTATCTATTATAATCAATGCTCTTTTTTGTGTCACTTGCAGTTGCTCTGTTTCATGGCAGGTCCAGGGAGGTGTCGCTTCCTGAGGCCATCCTTCATACATATACCTAGATACATACGAGGATACTTTAACTACTGGATACAGACAGACATGTCTGCATACCTGCATGTTTTACATATATCCAGACCGGCATGAACGTGAATGATTATCGCGAATGCCGAGGTGGTTTCTCTCCATCCTATGGCGCGAGAGCACTAGCGATAAGAATCGATAACTACTTAGATTCGATTTTCTTAGGTTATTAAATTAATCCAACACCACATGCCAAAAACAGGAAATAGAAAACCCAAATGAAGGTAGTATCTCCGTCCATACTTCCGTTCCGCTGCCGCGAGTCCAGAAAGCTGATCGGTTAGTTATTGATAGTAGCGCTATTGATAGTAACAATGACCACCTACTTCGGAAGTACTCAGTAGCATTACTAGATCCTAGGCACTTGGTAACTATAGGTAATAGGCTCGGTAATAAAGATTTAAAATAATGCCACCGGAGTGGGAATCCGACCGCAGCGGGGATCCCCGTTTCTAATTTCGACTCTTTCATATGCTAACAAATTAGATCGGTATTTGGCTTGATCGGTCAACTCCTACCTACCTAGGTAGCTACCTATTTTTATATGGGAACTTGAGTGGCTGTTGTTTGGTTGATACTACCTTAAGTAGTGCCTAGGGGATATATGTACATACATAGGTAGTTATTATTGGTCTTAGGGTTGAGGTTATCTGAAGGAGGGAGGAAATTGAGGTGGACTAGACTAGGCAGGAAGATACAGGGGTGGATTTTAGGGACATGTGTTCAGGAGTATTTACTGTTAGGCAACATGGTATGGATTCTAGTGGAGGATGATAATAACAATCATTGAGAGTATGAGGTATTCAGGGGGTTCATTCACCTGTGTATTACTACCTACCTACCGGTACCTATAGATGTATCTGGGTTTACTTCGATTACTACTATACTCAACAGTGGCTATCCACGAGTTAATAACATGTAATGTATTTTGCAAATAATCCAAACCGCCTGCAATAAGATCGTTCATCTATTCAGGCTCAGTAAATTCTCAATGTATCGTCTCGCATCCAGTCCCAGTCCCTCCACCAGCTTGCCAGGGCCGGTGTCTGCCCGTGACGAGGCAAGTCCCGGCGACGTCGCCCCGCCCAGATCCCTGAAGAATCGGGATCCGCTGCCACTGCGTCCATGCGAGACCGAGGGAACGTGGTCGCTCGCTTTACGGATGAGGAATGCTTCCTGGCAGGCGTCCCCGCTGCCATCAAGACTTTGCGTCTCCTGGACGGCGTCGCCGTCGTCGTCGTGGTCGCTGCTACCGCTGCCTGAGCCGGGAAACCGCACCCAGACAATCCACCAGCCGCGACTGGTCTTACACGTTCTCTCTACCTCTAGGGCCCGGGATCGGGTCTCGACGTACGTGCTGAGGAGTCGGTGGTGGATGTTCAGGCTTTCCACTCGGGACCAAGGCGTTGTGTTGGGGTCGCGATGTTCGGGGGGATGAGCGCCTAGATCGGGGATGTTGGGGATCGAGGTACGGACGGTCAGGTTAGAGGGATCATAGACAAGGTCGTAGACGGATTGGTTCTTCGTGATGAAGCGTCGGTTGACGTCGAACGCACTTTCCGACATGGAAATCCGGGCGGCCGCATTCGCCGGCGATGTGGAGTTGACGAGCGTCTTGTGGAGGGGGGTGAGCTGGTGGTGAATGCTTTGGTAGAGAGAGGGGTCCGCTAGGGAGGGGGCCTCCGGGTGAAAGAGGAATGTGTACATGAACGGTTGGTGCTGGGTTCTGGTGTTAGACGTGGCGTTATAGGACCCCTGGATGTTCCTGGTGGGACTTACTACATAGACCACTACTCGCAGTTTCGTAGGGCCTGGGCGCTGTTCATCTGCGGGGGCGTTTTCGCGCGGACCTGCCATATGTAAATTCAATGTTCGTTGGATGATCGTCTCTTCTGAATCCCCTGGTGATTTGTTCGCCTGGTTGGCGTCCTCCGAAGAATGCGTGTTTGCAGTGGCTGGGTCCTTGTGCAGACCAATTAGGAACTTTCCTAGGTTCTTAGGTTTCGCAGTACCCTCGGTCCTGGATGACTCCCCGTCAGATATCGGCTGTGCACTTGCAGGGGAGGCCGTTTTTTTGTTTGCGCCGGTCGACCCATCTTCCTGCTTCAGGGCCTCGACGCGAGGATGCGGGCTAGGTGTGCCAGAAGAGGGCCCCCAAGCCGAGCCGTAGCCAAGTGTCAGGTATTTCACAAACGTCTCCGATTTGAAACCGATCCAATCCTTTCCACCTTCGCTCTGTGATGGAGAGCTCTCGCGACTGGCCTGAGACTCTGCCTCGGAGTCTCGCTGTTGTTGTTGTTGTTGTTGTTGCGGTGCGAGACCCTGGCCCGTAACCAGGGGACGAGGTATACCGGGAGAGAAACTAAAATCGGCGCTTGCATTATCAGAGGGGGCCCCGGGTTCATTGCTGTTCTTTGATGATCGACCTCGTGGCTTTCTGCGTCGCTTCCGACGTCGTGGCGAGCTTGGGTCATCGCCCACCCCGTAGGTGTCAGGGCCATATCGGTAGATCCATTCCATCCACTGAGAGACCCGCGCGACAGATCGCCTAGAAAGTGCACCCATCCCCGAAAAGATGATCCCATCCGATGGCCTTGGGTGGGTGTCTAAGCCAAGCCATCGCGTGTTGCTTTCGTCTCCATGGACAGCCCCCACCCTGTTTGTAGTCGCCTGGCCCTCGTTGGGCACCGATGGGTCGCCGAATCTTGAGATCATCAGATCTACGAGACCCTCTGTGCGGACCACGAAATCTTCAAACACCTCACGTTCTCCGCTCCCCCACTCTTCTTCGCCAACGCCGATGCCAAGCTCGCCGCCGGCGGAGAGCTTGATCCCGTTGTACATGTCCACGGCGGGGTTTCCGCTAAGAAGAACTTCCCAGCTCTTCGAAAATTTCCGCCAGTAGCCATCAAGGAGAGAGCAGAGCTCTGGCCTGCCCACGCGTTGGTACAATGCATCCAGTGTAAAGTCGTGGTGGAGTAGGAAGATGGAGTGAGCTCGGCGTATTTGCTGGATTAGCAGGTGCGGGGGGCACATCTCCCGCGATGAATACTGAACGGACGGCGAATCCGAGGCATCGCGCTGCGAAGAGGATCCGTTGGAAGCGTCGGTGGTGGGTAGACGAGTCAGGTCGATACACTGCAACGATCTCAGCGCCTGCTGTCATCACGATACTTTAGTGTTCACATGTAAGGACTTACGGCCAAGATCCACCAGTCCTTTTCCAATTCATGAAGTACAATGGTTTTCTTTTCCGTCTCTATATATTCCACCGGTTTGCCCTGCGAGAAGTTCCTGGAATATCTGTTCAGCGCAACTGTGGGCGCAGTTCGTTCAGGAGCGTTTCCCACCTGGCAAAGCTCACCATCCCCTGCGCTAGTCCTATCTGGCGCAACTTTTCATTCTGTTCGCCGTTCGATTCATTTTCATCGACCCCGGCCGCAAAGTCCTCGCGCCGTCGCAATCGAGCCGATCTGGAGGTATAAAAGACGATCTGGTCCTGGATGGTTTCGTCGGTCGGTCCGAGAAGGGGGTTGTAGATGGTAAGGTAGGAAAGCTGAGCAGGAACTACCGAAGTAAGGTCGTCCCCTGGCATCGCATCATTAGACTGTGAGCCACGGCTCACAGGGTATTCTCACGATCAACGCGAAGGTGCGGAGGTCTTGCGGAGGTCGGCCTGGGGTGTCGATAGCGGTGACATCACGTGGTTGGAGATTGCGGAGTCTCTTCCGCGTCGGCGAGGATGCGCGCTTTGGTCTAGACGTCACGATCGCTGTCCACGCCATGTTTCTTCTACGAGGACCCGGATCCCTCTGTTTTCGCAGAAACAATGGCATCTTTCTCCGGAATCTTACCCCTCGATTTATCACTACGAAATCCTACGCGCCCCTTCGCATTCTCTTTTGCGGATCGGACGACTTCAGTATAGCTTCCCTGAGAGCTCTCCACGAGGAGCATGTGAACCGACCGGATCGGATAGCGTCCATTGATGTCGCCTGTAGACCAGGAAAACGATTTGGAAGAGGACTGAAGAAAATACGCGAGGGTAATTGAACCGGTCTATTATGTGAAGTGTTGGCTGACAATGGGCTCCAATAGTCCCCGTCAAGGCCGCCGCAGAGCAATTGTCGCTTCCCATCCATGAAATTGATACATTCAAAGGCTGGAAAGTAGGTGGTGTGCTACCCTCGACACAAGAAATCGCTACTCACACCACTGCCTAGCTGCCTATGTCGCATGGAGATCCCATCAACTTGATAGTAGCTGTTTCATTTGGGTTATTCGTGCCACCGCGCCTCCTTAACGAGGCGCGTTACGGGGGACTGAATGTTCACCCTTCATTACTCCCTGAGTAGGTTTCATTATCAATCGCCTCGAAAAGTTTGTTTGTGTCTGACCGTGCGCAACTATAGTTTCCGGGGCCCTGCACCGCTGCACCATACACTCCTGGCTGGGAGAACCAGAACTGGCGTTACCCTCCAGACCTTAGATCCTGTGGCATTCGATCATGGCGTGATTCTCGACCAGACGCCTTCGCCCGGATTCGAAATACCCGAAGATTGCACCGTCCCGAATCTCTTGGAAATCGTGACCCCAAAGGCGGCCAACATTCTCGTGGATGGCATTAGGAAGGGACTCTTCGTGCAGCCACTGCAGGATGCCGGCTGGCGTCAGTCTGGTTCAGATGAACCCCTGCTCCGTGCAGGCAAGATACTACCAGAAGACCGTCATATCGACTGGGCCAACTGGACCTGGGCAGAGATCAGCAGACGTAACCGCGTGGTGGGTCCCCTCTGGAGTAATGCTCTGGTGGCCAGCGGCGATTCTACTGGTGTGGAACCTCTGCGGCAACGACGAGTGATCTTCACGGAGATCGAAAAAGTTGAACCAACTCCAGACCCTCACACATATGGAGTTGTGCCCGGATTGCCTTTTGTAGATGGCATTTCTCCATTCGAGCCTCGTCAGGGCAAAGGCCTCTACGTTTTCACCCAGGATGGGATTCTGTTGCGCGTGCACCAGATGAAGGTGGAAGGAGAGCCAAATGCAGATGCTCTCACAGCTGCGCTTAAGGCTCGCATGGTTGGAGATCGAACATTCTCATCGGGTGCCTCCCAATATAAATCCTTCTACGAATCTCTACGATAAACCCAAAACGCATATCATCCCAGGGACCAACCATTCCTGATCACCACTAATATCATGTTACTAAAATGTTACATTGTCTTCTGCCAATTGGTGTCAAGGAGTTTGTTTCAGCTTTCTAGGGCATTGGATCATTTAATAGCGGCGCCGGAATCTGAAGAATTAGTATCACCTTAGACGACAGTGTCTGGAAGACCATGGACGACTCACCGATTTGGATGGACTGTCCCGTCATAGACGAGTTCTGGGCGAGCATCACGTACGCATTGGCAGTGTCCTCAACGTCAACCTAGCAACCTCAACGTTAGCATGATGGATTTTACAGGGAGATCAGGATTCTGACCACTCGATTGAGAACTGCCTTCTCCTTGTAGCGCTCGACACTCTCACGAGGGAAACGTTGACCCTGAAAAAATATTAGCTTTTCGATTTCTATGGACGGTACCGGCATTCTTACCCATTCGGTGAGTAGAAGACCAGGCAGAACCGCGTTGACCCGGACTTTGTTGCCTTGTGTCTGCGCAAGACACTTCATGAGGTGCAGCCCTGGGTACTCTGATTTAGCTCTGCCTGACATGCTTGGTATTAGGCTATCAGATTTGGAAGATCTTACCTGCTGCTTTGGTCACGGAGTATGGCAAGCTACTCCCCATAGCCGAGACAGCCTGACAACGGAGATGATGAGCGGATTGTCTCCCGGCCTTTCTGGGGTTGGTCACTTACCGCAGTCGAGGAGGTGATCAGAAACACACCACCCTCGGGATTTTCGTTAAACGTGGGAAGGGCTTCCTTGAAAAGCCACAGATTACTCTTGACATTGGTAGACCAGCACTGGTATTGGACTGATTAGCCGGTAACTTTATACCAACCTGTCGAGGGATTTGCATACCCTGTCCCAGTCTTCATCGGTTGTGGCATCTAGATCTGCAAATTGCGTGATTCTTGTCCAACCCTGTGCCAACATTGATTAATCTTGACTATGTCCAGAGACCCTTTTCTGGTACTTACGGCATTCGACACAACGATATCCAGACCCCCCAACTGCTCTATGGTGGTTTTGACAGCCCTCCTACAGTCACTCTGGAGACTTGCATCCTAAAATTCACCCGAATACATGAGCTATCTCCTGTCACTTTGGTCACTGCGATATTCCTTCGAAGAAACCTACAGCCTGGATGGTAATGGCCTTGACGTTGTACTGAGCCTGCAGGTCTGATGCCAGCTTTTCGGCAGCATCGTTGCTCGAAACGTAGTTGATGGCGACGTTACACCCTTCCGCAGCGAATTTCTGGGCTACGACGGCGCCCAATCCCCTGACGATCGATTAATGCCACATAGTGTATACAGGAAGTGGATGGTTTGGATACCGAGAGCTAGCAGTGATTAGGGCATTGCGATTGCGCAGAGAGTACGTCATGATTGTATGTGATAACAGGGGACTTGTGATGACGAAGCTAGATCGAGAGCTATTTTGGACTCGAGAATGTAAGCTGTAAGAGAGAGAGAGAGAGAGAGAGAGAGAGAGAGAGAGAAAGAGAGGGTAGGACCGAGTTCCCAGTAATGAGGAGAAGACCGGCCAACCCCACTCGGAACGCTCTGACTTGCTTGTGATTGTGATTAGTCGATCCGACATCCATGTCAAATCCTTTGTACATTGACAACGCATCGATGTCAGGAGTCATAGATTCATGGATTCATGGAAGATCTACAAATATATATCATACTGTACAGGATAATGATGACGACCGATCGGTCTCTGGCGCAGTCCACTAGTAAGCAAACACTGGGTGACTATTGTTTGTCATTCCACAAGAGTGCCAATATACTCTGTCGGCCTCATTCCCTTCCACGCCCGCTTCCCTTCCAACGCTGGCCATTGGACGAGGAATCGATCGGCGAAAGGAAGGAGTAGCTTGCCCGAGAGACTCAAGCTGGTCACTCGCGCCCAGGACTCTACAAAGATCGTACGAAGCTGGAAACTGTCCCGCATTAGCAGTCGGTTGCCCGGTGCTCGGTCAGCTGCATCGGTGACACGCAGCCGGTTCCCGTGCGTGAAGCAGGCCACTAGAGAATGATACAGTCGGAGGAGTCTAGCGGCCAGGATGACGCAGACCCCCGTGGCAGGACCGTTAGTGAGGATGAGATCCGGATACGGGGAGGCCAGCAAGGGAGACAGGGGAGGTTGATCGGGATGACGCCCGCACAACACGAGAAGACAGGCGTAGAAGCATTGCAAGGTGGATAAGGGAGCTGTCACGTAGGACTGGTGCACGCGACGCGCGCGTGGCACTGTCACGATGGTATACGATGCGGCGAGTCCGAGGTAATCGGTTTCGAACCGAGTCGCCGCTCGAGCACTGAAATCATCCCCTGAGCTCACCACGTAGGTGCGATACGTATACTGCGACGGATCGAGCTTCATGCGCCGGAGCATAGAAAACATCTCGGCGGTGTGTCCGCCGCTGCCTAGGACGACTAGAAGATGGGTTGGGGTTTGACGGACGCGCCATTGGGGGACGACCGAGGAGAGAGCAGTGGGGAGGACGTAAAGGGTAAGCTGGGAAGATGATACGGTTAGTCTCGGCCTCGTTCAATGCTGGATGGACAAGACGAACAAAAAAAACTTACTAGCATGACGAGACTACCCAGGCCGCCGAGCAACACCGCCAGAGACAGAGGGGCGAGTGGGAGCGGAGATGTCGCCATAGCGCCGGGAGACTTTCCCAAAGACTGGTTAGAGGGGCAGCAGAGGAATTGGGATTGAAGTCGGACGATAGTGCGCTCCTGGAGAGAGAGAAAGAAAAGAGAAGAAGAATGACAGAGGGATGGGATCAAAAGAAGGCGCGGGTGACGGCACGTGGTCCGTGCAGCTCGGCGATTATTTTCTGGGTTGGCTTAACTCCTTCGCCATCAACAACAATTCACCTCTGCCATGTCCCTTTGCTCTTGGCCTTGAAATGGCTCCTCTTTTCGCCAAGCGTTTGAATTGCTTCTACTGTGGGCGTCGATCTGCTCAGACCGATCGCGACTCTGTCCGCAAATGGCGTTGCGCCCACTGCGAAGCCGTCAACTATCTAGATGAAGTAGGTCGCCTTCCTCCCCCCTCCGAGTGGCCCGACGGTTCTCATCTGTTAATCACTCTGTAGAAAGGAGAGATCACAGATCCCCCCGCTACCGAAACGAATCCCAATGTATACGGGCCTGGCGCACCAGATCCCCCGTTCGAGTCCGCCGACCTGACGGGGTCCGGCCTATTCTGTTCCCACTGTGTCCGCAATCAACATCTGTTTACGAGTGGCTTGGCCTCCTACTTCCCCGCTGCTGACGACCCCGAATACGGTGCCTATGAGCGAGAATACCCGAAATTCCGAAAGAACCTTGAAGAGCGGTATCCGCAAGTGTGTGTTAGATGCGAGCCTCGAGTCAGACAGCGCATCCGCCAGACGGGGTATGAGGCGAAATCTGACCACCTCCGACGGATGATGGAACGTAGCAAAGAGGGGAGGGCCGCAAGACAGGCTCGCAACTGGAACTGGCGGAGTCTGTTGGTATTCGCGGGCGCCATAGGCTCCTGGACTAGTATTGCTGGTCAACTTTCCTGGGACCTGTGGAGTGCTCTGGCGGTCGCCGATGGTGACTCGCTGCGGGATCCGGACGCGTCTGGCGAGTCGTCGCCATCAGTACTTACCTGTGCTTCGCAGGCGCTATGGACGCGTCAATTACCGAGTGACTGCATGGCCGACCTAGCGCCTTACGCCGGCTTGTCTCTTGTTGCGGGCATTCTCTCGTTGTGGTATAACCCGAAACTGCGACTGAAGGTCGAAGGGCGAGGGGGCCGCTTTGTGGGTCTTGGCGAGTACTACAAGGTACAGCTGATAGTTATGGTGGTGCGATGCGTCTTCTGGGGTGTACTCAGAGATCCCTCGTCGAGCGGTCTCGATCCGTCGCTACCATCCGCCCTTCACTGGTTTATGATTCTGTTTACCGTCTTGGTACGTCCCTCCCAGTCTGACACTTTAACTCAGTCCTAACCGGAACGCAGTCCGTTGTCATCTCCCGGCGCATTGTGCAGTACGATACTAGGCCGCTGGTGTCATGGAATGATCTCACGCCCGCACCCACTCCACAGCGCAAAGTCGACGCGTCTCCTCTACCGGGTAGCAGCAGCAAGGTGTCGTCTGTGACTCCAAATGGAGGCTTATTCCAGACTACGCCGCGGTTTCCTCTTGAGAAATTGGCAACTCCGCAGCCTACTCCCCAGAGGGAACCAGCTATACCCACTCCGCCTCCGGAGGGAGATGATATGGACTGGACTCCTTCGGTGCAACATAACATCAGACCGGCGGTTAGCGTCCAGTCAAAAGATCCAAGCTCCGTCCTTGATGGTCCAATGCCTTTCTACGGGACACTACCTGCTGCCCCTCAGCCTCCTTCATGGACGCTGCGGACCCAACCGGCCCAGCGCCAGAAGCCTCTTGAACAAATCGTCGCACCCAACCCCTTCCACCGCACACCCACACAAGCGTCCAAATCGTGGCAGCGCGACAATGAACCCGCCGACAACGTATTTGCCCCACCAAAGTTCTTCCCCATGAGTGACCATGTTGCATCAACCGGACTAGAGAACCTATTCGATCGCACTTTCACCATCAAATCCCCGGAAGACGAGGACGGTGACGGCTGGCAATCGCGCCCGGAAGTGGCAGATACACGGCCTCAAGCTACGACAGACCTCAAGGGCTATTTCATCGTTCAGTATCTTCGATTCGGATTGCTGCTGGCTTCAATTGCGTCATGGCTGCTCTCACAGCACGAGCTGATCGCGGTGCCTGGGAACTATATTGAAGTTGGTTCACTTGGCAGCGCAAGTCTTCTCGCCGGGTTTGCGCTGCTGGAGGTTTTGAAGCAGCCAATCGTGCAATGGAACGGCATGGAGATTCTCGTTTATTTCGCCGAACTCGTGGCGGCTGTTCACTTGGGTGGAAACCTCCCCCGCGTCTCCTTCGAACGCCATTACTTCGACCGGTATGGCAAGCTACTCCTGATCTTTATGGCCGTACAGGAGGCGCTGGGTCTGCTTTCTCTCTATCAGCTCGCGGCCAGAAACTCAGGGTCCCAAGCGCCGACCCAGAACAGCCCGCCTACGTCGACCGAGACCTCACACGCTGGCCAACCACCGCGCAGTCCGGCTCTGATAGAGAATGGCAACGGCCTACGTTCTCCTTCAGTTACTTCACCGTCGTCTGTACCACCTCTGTCCTTTTCTTCCACTTTGAACTCCAGCTTCAACCAACCCGTTGAGGTTCAACAACGATCCGCCTTTGCACCGCTCAATGGTGGGTTCGGTAGCGGATTCAACAGGGATCACAGCTTCAGTCTGAACAGCTTGAAGGACAACGAGTCCGATACTTCGGACGCATTCGATCGAGACTCCGACACCGAGACCACCGCCACCGCCACCACCACGGCTACCAGCAATACCATCCGGAACATCCGATATGGACGGAACAACGTCGACAACACCTTTTCACCCCGAAAGTCCGAACTTGGCTCCGGGATCGGGGGCCTGAGTCTCGAGGACAACCCTCGCCGAATGACCCGCAGTCAGACGCAGCGGCTCCAGGGCCGTCGAACTCCAGCGAGGGCCTTTGGTCGAAGTTGATGACCTGAACTCCCGCTGTCTACGTTCTTTTTGTGATTCTTTTCTTGTTCCAGTTATGTATACCGTGTCTCGACACTGAAAGATTGTCTACACGCCTGTTTCCCTACTTTTCCCCCACCGCGATTTATTAGCACTAAGGAGCCGAGCCAATTGGCTGTGTGTTTGGATAAGCGATATTATTCGTTCGTATTCTTTTCTTGTCTTTCAGATTCGTCGTTTTCTCGTTTCTGCTCTTTATTCTAGGGCCCTTTTGATCCTGTACTTGATAGTTCGTGTCTGTCATTGTCATCTGTCTTCATCAGTTTCTGTCTCGTTTGTTTCCTTGCATCATGGCGGTTGATTAGCGTTCATTCTTACATTCGTCTTTATTTGTTTATTCAGGCCTGTGTCTGTTCTTGACGCGATATGGATGGATGGGTGTACAAACATACATACATACCTAACCTCTTCGAATATGATTTACGACCTTCCTTGACTTCTTAGAATGAATTGGATAGAAATGCTAGGGGTTTTAGCTTGATTCTTTATCGTTTATTTATCATCTTGGGTTTTCCATTCTTATATTGTTGATTTTTTAATGTTTCATCTAAGAACAGAATGTATGAGGATCATGTGTTATCTAATGACCATAATCGCGATCGAACATGCCCCCTTCGCTAGAAACATAACCAAAAATCAAGAAAAATGAGCCTATGGTCGGAAATTCATGTTAATATCATAAGATAAAATCAAAAATGCCAATCAACCTCTTCCCCCTGTCCCCTACCATATATATAAAAAACCGTAAAACAGAAACCAAACAAAGCGAATAAGTCCGACAGATCAAGTGAAGAATAATTTTTCTTTAAACCGACTCCATCCTTGTCTCCGTCGTCCTATGGCCCGCTTTGCTACTTCCTCCTTCTGACATGTTTCTCTCCGCGTCGGCGGTCTTGTCCACCAGGGTCGTGACACCGAAGAGTTCGTCCATCCTTTCGAGGGCGAGACCTATAAAAAGAGAGAAGTTTGGTTAGCTGGGCATGATATATAGAGTGAAGGAGACTGGGGAACAAGTACCTTTGGTTTCGGGAATGACGAACCAGACGAAGACGCCCATCGACAGACAGAAGCATGAGAAGATGATGTATGTACTAGAGCAAATGAATTAGTGTTCTATATCAACGATGGAGCCTGGGAGAGGAGAACGTACCCGTAACCGTTCGCGCCGACAGTGGCCAACATGTTAGGTACGGCTCTGGCAACCACGAAGTTGAACAGCCACTGAGTTGCGGCGGCGAAGGAGACATTGAGGCCTCTCAGGCGGGCCGTCGGAATCTCCGACACGTAGATCCAGCAGACCGGACCCCATCCGAACTGGAAGGTAGCGGCGAAGAGGAAGATGCAGACGAGGGCGACGTAGCCGGCAGGGATGACGGGGGCGCCTTCCTTAGGGGGAGCGATCCGGATGTACAGGCCAATGTAGAGCATGGTGAGACCCTGGACGGCGGAAGTCCACAGCAGAGAGCGACGACGACCGAGCGAGTCGGCGACGAACACAAGGAAAATAGCGCAGCCGACCACCTTGACGATGCCGTAGACACCAGTAGCGAAAAGACCGGTGGCATTCCCGGTGATTCCCAAATTCTTGAAGATCTGAGGTGCGTAGTAGTTGATCGCGTTGGTACCGGTCATCTGCTGGCAGATCATCAGGAAGATACTGATCATCGCACGCTTACGGTTTCCGGGAATCAACCACATCTCCTTCATGAGGTCCATGAACCCGGAACCGCCGACCAGATTCCGTTCGTGTTCCAGCTGCTGCTGAATTTCCTGGAATTCATTCTCAACGTACGGGTGGGTGGAGGGCAGGTTCCGCACACGGGAGAGGGTCTTCCGGGCGTCTTCCCAGCGATCTTGTTTGGCGAGCCACCGAGGCGATTCATTGCAGAGCAGCATGCCAACGAAAAGTAAGATGGCTGGTAGCGCCTGCATGGCCAGCGGGACCATGTACTGGGCGGTACCGTCGATATGCAGGACAGACCCGTAGTTTATCCAGAAGGCAAGCATAATACCGAGTGTGATAAAAAGCTGGTACAGACCAGTCAAGCCGCCACGGATAGCACGGGGGGCGTTCTCGGAGACGTAGAGAGGGTTGACCATGGAGGCAACTCCGACACCGAAACCGGTTATCAGCCTGGACGGGTTGATTATCACTATTAGCCACGACTGAACGATACCGCGGGACGGATGATGGTATATGAAGGGAGCACGACATACCGCCCAATATACATGGCCTCGAGATGCCCCGAGGCCGCGACCTGCATGATGACACCGATCATGGCAAGAAATGAAGCCGTGATCAAGCCAAGCCTGCGACCCCATTTATCGGCCACGACAGAGGCGGCCAAGGCGCCGAAGAAGCACCCTGCTTGTAGGGTGGAGACGATGTTGGCGGACAAATTGGCCGCCGCGACGTCGTCGATATCTTCGAGACCGTATTTCCTATTTGCGGGGTTGGTATTCTCGATCATCGGCGGCTTGAGGATCCAGAAGGTTGACTTACGCTTTGAAAGGGTCCATCGTCAGGACACCTCCAATGATACCGGTCTCCATACCGAAAAGCATTCCACCGAAGCATGCCTGGAAGGGGGTTAGTTCACAGGCCTGATTGGGGCCATAGGAGAAAGAAAAAGCAACGAGCGTGGAAAACCGACCGAGCATGCAAGCAGGTAGACTCTCCACCCGTAGATCTCCTTGGGATCCGATTGCATCGCGTCATTGTGGACGAGTCTCTTTAAGATGGCGGACATCTTGTCGGGATATTCTGGGGGGTCTCTGATATGAAGGCCCGTGTAGAGAAGACACTCAATCAATCAGTCAAGAAAAACAGTTGATCAGGCGGGTTGCAATAGTCTCATATAAGAGTCTAGAAGAGAGATCGACCACCGCGCATGCCTACTTGACGAGTTCTCCACTTCAGCTGATTAGCACCGGACGTATGGCGGGAAAGAGGATAAATTATAAGCATGAATTTGAGAATTATATTAAAAGCCCGATAGATAACCAAGGTCGTATCGCCATCGGTTTCAACCAACGGCTATTACCTCTCAGCAATAGCCGGGACGACGGAGAAACAAGGCGAGAAAGAGGTGAAATGGATTCCACGAATCCCTGGACATGGATGGCAGCGCCCCCCATGCCATGGGATGGACAGATTCGCGGAGGGGAAAGGCAAGGGAGGATCAGATCCCGTCTGGGCAGCGTCGCACTGTGCCTCGTGCAGCGCTGGGATAGAGTTAGCGCGACGAATGGGATGACGAGACGCTAAATGAGCTGGTCAGCAACTAGTGATTGCGGGGGAAAGACCCCGAGAGATGATCTGCGGGGAGAACCAGTCGTATTCATGATGGGTGATGGATGGGAGAAGAAGGCAAGGAAAGAGGGAGAGAGAGGAGAGAGAATTTACCCCGACTTGGCAGGTCTGCTGATATCGTCAACCCTAATAAAATCGCCCTCTTGCCATGGCTCAGGATTCCCCATGGCTCGCAATTTCCCACAAATTAGATGGCATCATACATCTGGTTTCTAGTTCTTCGGTAGAGATACACTATCATCCCCCTCCGTTCAGAGCATTGGCAAAAAGCCACCCTCTCGAAGACCCAACGACCCATTTCCTTCTTTATCCGACCGTCATCTGCTGTGCCAACCATTGGGGAATGACTGGTGGCTTGTTCCATCCCTCTTGCCATCTGTTCGTGTTCGTGTCCTTCTCTTTTTCCGGCATGGCGAACACCGCGCTCACGAACCAGCTTTCAGTCCCTGACGTCAGATCGGCTCTCAACGAAGGGAGCAACGTTCGACCATGAAGGAGATTCGAGTTGGGATCGGCCAATACGATTCGTCCGGCTCTTTCTACATGGGTCTGGAGCTCGACGATTCCAACGGCCCCGGCTGACGAGACCGCGAGGGCCCGTCGCGACTCGTGGAGGGTTCCTTCCTCGGACTGTTCGGTGAATGGCCCCAGGATGCGACCATTGTCCTTGCGACAACCATAAATCGCGAACGCGCCTTCTGAAGTCTGGAGTGCTCTCCCCGTGTGTACGCGATGGGCTCGAATATGCCAGTTCTCGCTATCGTCGGACGGCGGAATCAGGAACGTCTCCACCTCCACGTCCGGCCAGGGCTTCCACTCCGAGACGAGAATGGGTACATCGCCCCGCCATTCAATGCGAGCATTCAGCGCAAGTCGCCTGGTTTGCCAAATATCGCCGCCGTCCTCGGACAGGGCGAGCATACTGTCGGGCGCGTGCTGTTCCAGCTGATACCCACCGGTGGGCACGGAGTATCCGAACGATGCGCTGTAGGCGAACTTGCCGTACTTGGCTTGCGTCGCTTTCAGGGCATAGTGGCAGGCCTGCCCCGAGGAAAGCAAGAAGGAGTGTCCCCCGCGATGCACTACAATGTGCTTGGGATACTCCAGAGCTGCAATGGCCGGAAGGGAGGCACTGGGGTACGGTTCTTCCTGGGCGGTCCAAAATGGATGCGATTCGGGGAGGACGAGAGGCACGAAAGACAAGCAGCACCAGTATGGCGAGCCCGGGGAGTTGTAGTTCTCGGTCAGATACATATTCGCGTAGGAGTAGCCGAGATTTAGGGTGCCGTCACCGTTGAAAATGTCTCTTTGGGTCGCCCACCAGCGAAAGTGTCGCAGCAGCAGACCTTTGACCACGCCCCAGGCCAGCGGAGCAGGGAGCTCGACGTCCGCGAACCCAAGCGCACCCCAGAACCCAGCCATGGCAAAGCGGTATGTCATCGATCGTCCGAAAGGGATCGCACTGCCTGTGAATGGGAAGGTTGGATCAGTCCCCGGCATCACACACCGACTGCTATTGCGAGAGCGGAGAAAACTCACCGTCCGGGTCAAAGTAATGCACGAAATCTTGGGCAAATTGCCTGGCACGCTCCTTGTACCTCTCAGCTCGCGGTTGGTCAAAATCCGCCGCCAATTTGGCATACAGCAGTTGCAAGAACTGAATGGCAAACGAGCCCGAGTAGTAGTCCATCTGGTGATGGCTCTTGGGGCCGTCGTTGCTCCAACCACCTCCCACGTGGAAAGTGTCCAAGTGATCCATGTCTGCTTCAATGCGTGCAAGAGAGTATGGTGCGCCGTTCCTCCGGAGACCCAGATTGGCGAAGACTCGGAACCACAGCCTGTCCGTGTCGAGTTGATGGTATCGTGAGCCTCATCGCAAGAACAAACGCCCAACCAATGACGGACGCAACGTACCAGTTTGTATTCGGCATCTCCTTATCATTAATACTGGCCAGCCAGTTCGTAACATTCTCCCTCTGCTGCTCCGTCAAGGGATCCCAAAACTCATGAGGCGCCACCGCGAGAGTAAATCCGATGGGACACATTTCCACCATGCGCTGGTCGGAATCCTCGATCGTCCCCCAGAACTCGGGGCTCTGTGGATCTGTGCCATTGATGAAGCCCTCCCGCCAGCGCGCTGCCTCTGCGTATTGGTATCCTCCTCCCAGTAGGGCAGCTAGCCCCCAAAGAGGGCGCGCAAAGCCCTCGATCTGGGCGCCGCCTTCGTCGAATCGAGTGGTTGAGGTCCCGATCTTCACGCGACTACCTCCGGGGGTGAAGTGGGGGACTAGAGGGTCTAAAAATGCCTGGCAGGCATTCTGGAAGTCACTGCGAGAGCGAAAGGGAGATTGACTGAACGCGTGAGCGCGAGTCTTTCCGTTGGCGCGAACAGACATGGTTTGCGACGTGAACGGCAACTTGATCCCCCAGGAGACCGATCGACAGGCGCATGTATATATACCAAACCGCCGATCGATCCTGCTCGAGTCTAATCGAGTGAGGGGAAATTCCAAATCGGAATGAAGTCCGACATGCTCGGCATCACATCTCCTTCGATGTGCTCTCTGGCGATTGGTGGAATGGACAGGAGGCAATTTTGCCGTGAACGAGAAAGGACCCTGGGGCGACGATTATCTGCCCCTCCAGCCGGCATGCATCAGTAGCGTGGTTATTAAAATGTCGAAATTTACCCGACAGTCTGTTGGATTGTCGTGCTAGCTACAGCTTGACAGGCTATATACATGGGAGTGATCAATTGACCTGGAGACATTTGACCTGGTAGCGATGAGTGCCCGACCCGACTTCCACACCCTCCTTCTTTTTGCCATTCGACCCCGGGAGCACGACGGTGGCTCGTGTGTTGGGTGGAACTTGTGCCACCAGATGGAAATCGCTTCCGTTGCAGTTTTGCCCCGGACGATCATCCAACCACCACTTGGTGGAGGCCAGGCCGTACGGCGTCTGCAATCTGGCGGACGCTCTGCGCAGCTCACCACCGGGAACTGGCTCGATATTGATCTTCTTGTACCCCGGTTCGGCAGGGTTGAGACCTCCGATGATCGAATGGATCCAACTGGCAACGGAACCAACGGCATAATGGTTGAATGAGGTCATCTCGCCGGGGTTGACGGTGCCGTTAGGCAGCATGCTGTCCCAACGTTCCCAGGTGGTCGTGGCATTCATCACGACCTGATAGAGCCACGAGGGGGTTTCCTTCTGCAGCAACATCTGATAGAAAGTATCCGACGCACCGTATTTCGACAATGCATGACCGAGTAGATGCGTTCCGGCAAACCCAGTTCCAACTTTATAGTCGTTCTTCTGAATGATGTTCACCAGGCGCTCAAGGCCAGAATCATAGTGCTCGGGGCTAGAAAAGAGTTCGAAGAAAAGGGGCAAGGCGAGACCCGTCTGCGTTTCGTTCTCCATGACCCCACTCGAGGAAATCCACGCTTTTTGGAATTCCTTGGTGAGTTTAGTATGCTGCTCGGAGTATGTCGAGGCATTGTCGGCAAATGAAAGAGCGGAGGAGATGTTGGCAAGGAGCTCCGTGCTATGTAGCAGGTATGCGTCGGATACTAGGAACTTGTCTGTGGTGGCATCTCCGGGACTGTCAGCGGGCGCTTTGGGATCAAGCCAGTCCGCAAACTGGAAGGTTGAGCGATTCCAGAGTCCCACGTCATTTCGGGAGATGCCTTTGTCGACCCAGTCTTTGGCTGCCTGGTATTGCTCGCCGAGCATGATCTTATCCCCAAAGGCTTGGAAGAGATCCCAGGGGACGGTGACAATGCTATCGCCCCAGATGGAGGTCGGCGTTGCCGCCCCGAGAATGTTGGGAACGACAAAGGGCACAATGTCTAGGGTGGTCAGCACGCGCGATCTGATCCACGGACCGCAGGTGATCCTGGTATCACTCACCCGAGTTATTCTTTTGTTCCGAGTGGACGTCCTTCAGCCAGCCCCGGAGGAAGCCAGCCGTGTCATACAGGAAGTTTGCAGTGCGAGCAAAGGCGTGAATGTCACCGGTCCAGCCGAGTCTCTCATCACGCTGAGGACAGTCCGTCGGGATACTCAGGAAGTTCCCTCTCATGCCCCAGACGATGTTTTGATGAAGTTTGTTGATGAGTGGATTCGAACACTCGAAATGTCCGGTTCGCTCCATATCCGTATGCACGACAATAGCCGTAATGGAGTCTTCATTTATAGGAGTGGTGTCGGTCGGCCAACCGTCCACCTCAACGTAGCGGAAGCCATGGAAGGTGAACGACGGTTCCCATTCCTGCACTCCTTCGCCTGAGAGAATGAGGTGATCGGTGGCTTTCGCATCTCGTAACGGACGAGTTGCTACCTCCCCATCTTCCATGACTGCGCATCAAAGGTTAGCTTCGGCGTCACGGCGGTTGCTCCCTGTCATTGCTCAAGGAAGGCAAATCGAATAGGACGTACCTTCTGTATGCACAAACTTGATTGTTTGCCCGCTCGGTCCTTTGACCCGGACCCGCAACCATCCCACCAGATTTTGGCCAAAGTCCAGGACCATCTTGCCCGAGGCGCTCTTGAAAACGTTGACGAGTTTGTGCTCGTCGACTCGTCGAACCGGGGGAGCATCTGGTGAGGCCAATTTGCCCTTGTCAAATGAAACCTCGTGGACCCCACGCCAGCCGGTACTATTGGAGCCGGGACTAGACCATCCACTGCGCTCCAATCTCGAATCATATCTTTCACCGTCATAGATTTCAGAAGTGATAATGGGGCCGGTTCCTGATTTCCAAGTCTGGTCACTGCGGATATACTCCTTACTGCCATCCGCTTTGGTAACGACTAGCAAGCATAGCACTCCCAGGGTATCGCCATAGATATTACGGTGTCCTCCACTGAACCCCAAGCGACCGGCATACCAGCCTTCTCCGACAGTGACTCCGATTGTGTTTGCCCCGTGTCGCAAATGCTCGGTGACGTCATAGGTATTGTACTCATGGCGACTGGTGTAGGTTTGCCAACCGGGGGCCAGGACGTGGTCTCCCACCCGCTTTCCGTTGATTTGGGCTTCGTACAAGCCCAGAGCCGTGATATATAACCGAGCAGAATCTATTGATTCATCCAGCTTGAAGTCCTTTCGGAACAAGATCGGCCGGTGGGTTTGGTTGACTTCCGTAGGTCGATCGGACACGATGGCTGCAGCATCCTGCCAGTCTTCGGGACTGAGAAGACCTGGCTCAACAGTAAAGGAATGAGACCAAGCTGTGTTAGGCTGGTCGTCCTGCCCAGAAGATCGCACGCGCACAGTAGCCTCCTCGCCGGATTTCAATGGAGAACTGGGCCAAGGGACCAAGACAGAGTCGGAGGAGTCGAAATGGAAGGTATCAGGCTCCTGCCCTCTACGCTTGATTTCCAAGTCATAGGCACTCTGCTCCCAGTCGGACACGTTCCCTTGAAACCGCCAAGAGATCCGAGGAGCTGACTCGGCGATCCCGAGGGCTGTGCGATGATGCTCAAAGGAAACCTGAGAGATAGATAGAGCCATGATGGAGGATATTTGTGACTCCGCAACCTTCACCAACCGGGCTCCTGCAGAGATTCCGGATTTAAAGAGCCTTTTGCGAACGGCTCAGCATTCAAATACTCGTCCTGGGCCCCCTTCATTCGGCCTCCTCATCCGTTTGAACAAACGCGCCCCCGCATGTTGCAAATGACTCGTGGAGCCAAATGTCTCATCTCCTGTGGGTAGCTCGGTTCTCGTTGGATCTCAGCCCGAAGTCTGGCTTGGGCTCTTCCCGCGGCAGATGATCGCAATGTCATTTGGTCCAGTCGCAAGCGTTCTCGGGAAACGGGTGCCCATGATTTAAGGTCAATTAGGGCCAAATTGTGACGAATCCATTGCGGAGAACCCCAACTTCTGCATGCACCCCGCAAAGAACGCTACTTGCGGGGTTACTTCGGGTAATCCGAGTTGTCTTCTTGGCTGCCTTATACTGTAGATGTGTCCCTGCTTCCGGGGCATTCGGTGGTTTCCTCGGCGGTTCGATAGCCCGAGTCGTACTCGTATTTCGCACCGTATAGCCATGATTGAACCAGGTTGGTGCCTGCCTGGTAGATGGTGACTCCAAGGGTCCTCGTTAATTGATTCGTTTGTCTCGACCGGATCCATCGCTCGTCCTTGATTAAAGCAGGTTCCCTCAGATGTTTAATCATGACCATCACCAACTGCCGAACATCGACGAGGACATGAGACTCATCAAGCAGGTATCTAACACGTACTGCATCGCTAGCACTTGCAGTAACCATAATGTACATCAGGGCTGAGTATATAATACAGTTTCTATCTATCAATGCCTTCCATCCTAGAATACTTGAAAGACTATAAGCAGCCCAGCTTGCTCCCGATGAACTTCGACAGCTCTTTGACGGTGACTGCGTCCACTTCAGGGCTCAAGCGATCTAGTAAAATCTCATCCCAGTGTGTCTGCTGGATCTCGTGAAGCTTCCGGCCGTTCAAGGCCTCATGCACACGGCTTGCCTGTTGATCAGCCATCGTGGGATCTGACACGGTCGAGATGCAGCTTTCAATGATAGCGCCGTGTTTCAGGCGAAGGAATGCACGCGTCTGATGTGATGTAATTAGTGAGTCGCCAAGGAATCCCGGAGCGGAACTACTGGATGCCTTACCGCCGGCGGCAAAGAGACTGGCAGCGCTGGCCTCTCCCGAGGATCCTCCTCAATAGGGTAAGTAGAAAAGGTGAATTGGGGCGTTTGGGTGTATTTCCACTCCAATGACTACTCAGACGCCTGAGGTTAGCTATGATGCACAAGGCCACGCCAACGAGGACGCCTACCTTGAGCTCGTCAATTCCGGATTTGATCTTGGGTTCCCCGTAGCCCTGGGACTCTCCCACAGCTCCTGCGACCCAGTCCTCTCCCGCATATAGTTCCGGATCGTGGGCGTGGGCCCGCTGCGCACGGCGCAGGGCGTCCGGGTTGACCTCGTAAAGGGCTGCAAATTCCTTCATGACGCTGGTGATGATATTTTGGACTGAGAACGGGATCAACGCGTCGGCAAACATCGAAGAGACATTGGCCACGGGGGACCGCACACTATCGACACCCTTGGCCTTGATATAATCCCGCGCGCCCGATCGCAAAAAGACGCCCAGCCGGTCGATGTTCGGGGTATCCAACAAACAGGTCCCATGATGAAGCGCACGTTGTCGCGTCAATTTGAAAGCCGACCCGGAGATCTTCCGGGGCTGGTTTTCCCCGGATGACAGGACAATGTCATGGCGGTCGTTGACGCTGGTGTTAATGGCCCCCACGCGATGGAGTGCCCGCACCACCATCTCCGCATGCTTGTTTCGCGTGAACGTCGTCCGCGGCGAAATGACGCTATAGTTCAGATTGCCTTCGTCATGATATACTGCACCTCCTCCGGATCGCCGTCGCACATACATCACATCGCTGCCGTTGGAGTCGCCGGGATCGCGCTGCACCCGATCATTGTGCAGGGCATGTAGATTGGTCTCTAGCCATGGATTCTGGTTGCGGCCGATCACGACACACGGGCGGTTGATATAGAGGAAGAGGATGCTCGAGTCCGCGGGCGCGTTCTCGAGCAGGAAATGTTCAGTGGAGAGGTTCACGTAGGGATCTGTGGAAGAGGATTGGTAGATTTGATGCCGAGCGGATTGGCGACTGGCTAGCTGGGCGAAGTGGTCGGACGGAAAGGAGGAGTTATATCGACGAGGGGTGGAATTGAGGGCGGAGAGACGAGCATGGCGGGAGAGGGTGCGAGAGAATGATCGCAGACATGAGGGGGGAGGGAGGAAGGGGAGCATTGAGAGAGGGGAGGGGAGTTAGAAGGAGAGGAGAGGAGGGAGAGATGGAAAGAGAAATTGGAGTAAGGAAAGAGTTATCGGAAGTCACTGATACCCGCTTGGTACGATACCAGAAGATACAATACCAGACCAGACGGCACGTACCAGGTATGTACTGCACGGTACCGATCTGCGGGACCCCCGTACAGTACAGACTACAGAGGACGAGCAACTCCGATCGCCGGGCACTAAGGCCATTTTAAGGCGGCGATCGACCTGAAAAAGATGCCGCTTCGGATTCGCCTGAACATAATTCTGCGGCAGTCACGATTCGTGTGGTTCCACCCAGGAAAAGGTTATTCCCCTGTTGTTCCTCTCTTCTTCTTCTCCTTCTCTTCCTCTCCCCTCTGGATTCACTTTTTTCTTCCTGTCCGCTGTCGATTCATTTTTCTCCGGTGTTGGATACAAAGCCCCTCCCTTCCAACTCACTACCCCCGCCCTTCTCTCTCCTTTCTTCCGCGCAAGGGATCAATTGATTAACTCATCATGTCGACGTGGGGTGAACACTTCAGAGTCACCACGTAAGTCTACTTCTTAAGTCGAGCGGCCGAATGAGATTCAAAATAGAAATTGGAACGACTGACATGATGGTGTTTCGACCGCACACAGTTACGGTGAATCCCACTGCCGCTCCGTCGGCTGTATCGTCGATGGCTGCCCCCCTGGTATGGAGCTCACCGAGGACGATGTTCAGCCTCAGATGACTCGGAGACGTCCCGGTCAGAGCGCTCTGACGACACCCCGGAATGAGAAGGACCGCGTGGAAATCCAGTCGGGTACCGAGTTCGGCGTCACCCTGGGCACCCCGATTGGCATGATGGTTCGCAACGAGGACCAGAGGCCTAAGGACTATGGCGGTAGCACCATGGACTTGTACCCCCGACCCAGCCATGCTGACTTCACCTACCTCGAGAAATACGGTGTGAAGGCCAGCAGTGGAGGTGGTCGCAGCAGTGCTCGGGAAACCATCGGTGAGAGCGCCCCTCTACCCCGCGTTGCCTCAACTATATGAGGGCACAGACATAAGAAAGAAACAAACGATGCTGAAGAGATCAACTTCCATGTAGGTCGTGTCGCCGCCGGTTCCATCGCCGAAAAATACCTGCGTCTTTCCCACGGCGTTGAGATTGTTGCTTTCGTCTCCTCCGTCGGCAATGAGCACCTGTTCCCCCCAACCCCGGAGCACCCCACCGCCTCGACCAACCCCGAATACCTGGACCTCCTCGAGAAGATCGACCGCAATATGGTCGACTCGTTCGTCCCGACCCGTTGCCCTAACGAAGCAGCCGCTGCGCGCATGACCAAGGTGATCGAGCAGTTCCGTGACAACCACGACAGTATCGGCGGCACCGTGACCTGCGTCATCCGCAATGTGCCCGTGGGCCTGGGCGAGCCCTGCTTCGACAAGCTCGAGGCGAAGATCGCGCACGCTATGCTCAGCATCCCCGCCACCAAGGGCTTCGAGATCGGCTCTGGCTTCGGTGGCTGCGAGGTGCCCGGCTCCATCCACAACGACCCCTTCGTGGCGGCGAACGTGGAAACCCGCAGCGGCACCAACACCACCAGTGGCCAGCGACTGACCACCAAGACCAACAACTCCGGTGGTATTCAGGGCGGTATCTCCAACGGCGCCTCGATCTACTTCCGCGTCGCCTTCAAGCCCCCTGCCACCATCGGCCAGGCCCAGAGCACCGCTACTTACGACCTCGAGCAAGGTACCCTGGAGGCCAAGGGCCGTCACGACCCCTGCGTCGTGCCCCGCGCCGTCCCCATTGTCGAGACCATGTCCGCTCTGGTCATCATGGACGCCTTGATGGCCCAGTATGCGCGCGAGAGCGCCAAGTCTCTCCTGCCGCCGCTCCCCAAGACCATTCCGACCCGTCCCACGACGGCAGCGAATGGCTCCGCCTAGAGAGTCTGCTTTGGACCGTTTGTTATGGCATTTATGAGAAACTTTTGCTTTTTAATCTTGCAGTTATATGTTCCAATTTCGGGGGTTATAAAATAATTTTTTTTGTCCATCTGACCTTTTCAGAGCATTATAGAATGAATCATATTGATTATCCAATCTAGATAATACAAGGTTATTGTTTACCGTCCGTATTCTAGTACTATCAAAGTAATTCTCAACCTGATTTCATTTTCATCGTAATCACTTTATCAACATGAACTGCAAAGTCCAGGGGGGGGGGGGGGGGGGGGGGAGCTATTTAAAAACACAGTGGGGATAAAAAAACACCACAAAAACAATTGGAAAATAAAAATAAAAGCCGAAAAACGTGACGG